CACACAGACATGCATCAGGAGAGGTGAGACATTCCTGCCCCCACCCAGCACCCTGAGGAGAAGACTTTTCCTATTCACTGGCCTTCCTGCTTGCTACACCCCCCACCCTCGGCCTACCCAAGACTGTGATCCCAACCCCATCCTGACTCAATGGCAAAGACATTGGTCTAAAGCTCTTAACATAGATGCCCCTTTTGTTCTAGCTCCATTTTCTAGAAGGTGACATTGAGAAAGACTCCCCCGGGTCTCAAGACTATCTTTGAACTCCTAGGAAGGAACAACTGGGGAGATCATAATGGGATAAAATGCCATCTATGAGTGACCCCTCAGGGGTTGCCCTGGGGTTCGCTAACTCAGCCCCCCCAGCCTCATCCTGTGCTCCAACATCTTCCCCACATCCTGAGACAAAGGGAAGTCAAGCAAGAGAGGCTGAAGAGTAAGCTCCCTAATTCTACTCTCCTGGAGCAAGAGAGGAATTAGAAAGAGTTAGACCCAAGGATTATCCCCATGACCAAGCAGCAAGGGAGGATGCTGGAAGCTGAACCTCTCCTACTGCACCTAGCAGGCTCAGCAGAGCTGCAGCTGCAGGCAAGGATGGAGGGAGAAAAATGGTGGGGAAGGGTGGGGACAGCCTGGTGAGGACAGGGAGGTGCACAGGAGACAGCTGTAAAATGAGGGGGAGGGTCTCCTAACAGACAGACTCCTGCCCCAACTGCCTGGCCATGCCCAACCATGCCTCAGCTGGACAATACAGGAAGACCCCAGGAGCACCGCCACCCAGGCAGTGCCAGCTCATGCTGGGGACATGTGACACAGAGCAGTCCTGAGAACGCAGAAAAGGGCTGAGGAGGGCAGAAATCAGTTCTGGAGAGAGAGGAGGGGACAATAGAATCAGACAACTGATGAGGATGGAGAAGGAGCAGCTAAAAAATTAAAACTCCACAGCTCGCTGCCTCCTGCAAATGGCAGCATGTGCCCTGGTTCCCATTCCTTCACATTCAAATCTGAAATGGGGAAGAGCATCTACTGCATAGGCTGTCGGGAGGATAAATGGGCGAGGTGTGCAAAGCTTTTTGGAGTGCCTGGTGCATAATAAGCATTCAGTATATGACTGCCGTCGGTGTCATCATTATTGGCTAATGTCTGTCACCAATCATCAGTTTGTGTTTGTGTTAGTGTGACCATTTCTGGCCTGAAACTAGTTCTTGATTTAACTAACGAAAGACTGTTGTCTCTTAGCACATCCTAAACTGGCTCAGAAAGTCAACAATTAGTCAAGTGAGTGAACATTAACACGTTCTCGCTTTGTAAATCCTGTTTGAAGATGACCTTTTGGATGGACTGGCCACCTCTGAACACCTAATGAAGACACAGCCATGGGTTAAAGACATAGCTGGAAAGGGACAGCTTGCTGATGAGGAGTGGGCATCAGTCTGACATTAGCAGGGTCAAATATGCATGCTCACACACCCTCATTCCTTGGCCCCCTCGGATGCCCTTGCCCAACCCACTTCTTCTGCAAAGTGGATGAGTTTGCCTGATCTTTCCTTGGCCTTGGTGGGCTCTGCAGTGAGGGAGATGATGACCAGGAGCCCCACAGCCTGTGCCAGGCTGCCGCCCACATGCCCCCTCCTTTCTCACTGTACAGATAAGTGCAGCTTTCAGAGATCTGCTTCACTTCTCACCCCAGGGCCACAGGAAGCCCCATCACTCATCTCTGTCCCAAAGCACTATGGTAACTAGAGCAAGTTTCAACATTCCTAAGAAGCCAGAATAGGAATAAAAACCAGAAAATAGGCAAAGTACAGGCACAGCTCAGGTATCAAAGGAGAGAGTTCTAAGTAGGTGCACTGGTCCCAGGGGGCAGGACATGCCTGGTGTGCCCAGCACTGGGCCCATGTGGGTGGGGACAGATGAAGAAGACCCAGCTACTGCCTTTAAAGGGTCTACTTGACCTCAGCCTCTGTCTCACCTTTTGAGGCTTCCCCAGAAAGGACCCTCAGTTTCCCCCAGAAGATAGTGCCTTCCTAGCATCCCTCTCCTGAGCAAGCCTCCCTTACAAAATCGTCCCACTCTAGGCCTGTGGCCCCTCTTGACCTCAGGGCTGAGGGAGGAGATGGGATGTCAGTGTGAGTAATTGGTGAGGTTGGAGCTAGCTGGGGAGGGAGAGGGGCCAGTGGATTTATGGAAAAGTCAGGCCTGATTACCCACCAGCTGCCCAGATCAAAGGGCAGGCTCCACGCTGGATGCCAGAATCGACAGCCTGTTCAGTGTCCTGGCCCCATCCCTCTCCCCACCTCCACCTCCAGGACTATGGAGGATTGATACTTTTTGTGGGGGTAACATCTGAAATATTTAACACTGGAAATGGCACAGGTGCCAGCCAGGGTGGTCAGGGAGTGGAGGGGAGTGCTCAGGAGGCTAAGGGCAATGGGTACTTATCAAATGGTATAAAAGTCTTTCAAGCCCTGGCCAGTGTGGCTCAGTGGTTAAGAGCGTCGGCCTCGCCACCAAAGGGTCTTGGGTTCAATTCCCAGTCAAGGGCATGTACCTGGGTTGCAGATTCAATGCCCCATCAAGGTTCATGTTGTAAGCAACCAATAGATGTGTCTCTCTCAATGTTTCTCTCTCTCTCTCTCCCTCCCTCATTTCCTCCCTCCCCTTTACTCTCTCTAAAAAGAAAAATCAATGGAAAAATATCCTCTGGTGAGGATTAACCAAAAAAACAAACAAAAGTGTTAACAACCTACGTAACTGTTTCTATGTGTACTGGCTGAATACAAGCTCTGTCCAAAGAGAAGGGGACCTACTGCAAGGGAACAGAAGCCCTTGGGTCAAAGGTTAACCACACTTAGGTTAGAGAGGTCCTAGAAGAGATGCGGTGAGACTCCCTTTGTCCCCTGATTGACACTACCCCTTATACACACCGCTGGCTCAAGCAAGGCCCCTTGGCCTTCTCTCCAAGGGGAACAATCAGGAAGAGGCTGAGTTCCCGTAGCCATCAGTGAGGAGGGGGAAGGTGTGTGGGCCAGCGAGCTGGGCTGCCTCTGATACTGACCAGACTCATTAAAGCTGCCTGGCCAGCCCTGCTGTCACCAAGGCTGAGAGACTGCCAGCCAGCATCTTTCCCCTGAGGCCACAGAGTCTGCCCCCAGTCCCACAGCAGATCCTGCCCCTGCTACACACTGGGCTGCATTGGGAGGAGATGGCAGCCTCCTGACCCACACGCCCTGGATTGCAGTGACTGTGCAGGAGTGAGCCAGAGTCAGATGCTGTGTTAAGTCTGGAGGACCAGTGGTTTCCACTGCTAAGCTGGCTCCTAGTGTGGTGTGGCTGAGAGGATTCATAGCCACAGTAAACCCTTTCAGAGCAAAGCTGGGCCTGGAGGCCCCTCTTCTCCATGGCTCCCTCGGCCTCACCCACCAGAACCTCTCTCCAACCAGTGTGCCTTCTGTCCTGTGGGTTATGTGCCCTCCCATCACATCTTGGGGCCAGGGTCTGTAGTGTCTATGAGGTAGGGCCTGGAAGTATATCTGAGATGCAGTGGGGGAAGAGGCAAGGTTAACAGCTACTATTTAATGAGCTTCTACTTTGTGCCCAGACTCCTGCCAGGAGCTTACATTATCTGGAAGCGTCACAATAACAAAATAGGAACTATTATTAAACCTTAGATATATGAGAAAATTTAGGCTCAGAGACACTAAATAACCTACCCTAAGGTCACCCAGTCAGTTAATAATTGGGATTCAAAGCCAAGTCTCAAGATTCTGGAGTCCCTGGCCTTTCCTCTGTACCATCAGCTTGTCCATGTGCTTTCTTGAACAATGATGGCATCTGTCTGCTCAAGATCTTCAAAGTCTTTCCAGTGAGGGGCCTAGCCCTGCCCATATCTGACAGCATGTCATGTCAGATCAAGCAGCAAAGGAGAGAGCCCCAAGGTTGGGGTTGGGGTGGGGAGTGAGGCCAGGCAAACAAGTGGAGGGGGGTGCTGGTGCTGAGGCTGTGGAATTCATGAAGGAGTTCCTGTGTCTGTTTGACCCTGACACGTTTGTCTACATCCTGCTCTGCCTGTGATTGCAAAAATCGCATAGGACCGTTACTTAACTCTGTGTGGGGCTGTCCCCAGCAACACTTGTTCTCAGACCATTAATATGTATCTTCATGGTGATGATGAAGAATGTGGTGATTATGGTTATGATGACAATGAAACAAAAGGGTCCCAGCATGCCAACTAGTGGCTAGCATGTAGTAAGTGCTCAATAAATGTCAAGTTCAAATGAATGGGACACTTACCTAGTGACGTTGCTGCAATTGAGGCAGAGCTTAGGGAAGCAGTTGGGTCTAGGGAGCCTGGACTTGGGAGCTTTCTCTCCAGGGATGATGGGGGCGGGGACAGAGTGGTGCCAAAGAGCCCTGCAAAGGGAGCACATGGGGTTCGAGTGCCATCTTACCAGCCAAGCCTTGGCCTTTGGGCTTTTGGTGAAAAGCCTATCCTTCCCTAGAACTTGCTCTAAGAGAGCCCCTGTCCCAGGAATTATAGCACATGTCCACCAGGAGCTAAGCTCCAAGAACCAAACCAAACTTAGTATGGCAAAGAGGGAATTTCCTCCTGGGAACAGTGGCCCATGTCCCAGCACCTGGGAGGAAGCAATGCAGGCCTCCCCTTGAGTAGAGGAAGAAAGGGAGGGCTGCTGGTCAGGCCCCTGGAACAGTGCCGGACATGTAGAGGTATTCAGTAAGTGTTTGTTGCAATGAAGTAAACACTCACCTGGAGAATCTGAGACTCTGGAGGCAGAGCTTGGGGATGTAGTTGGGCCTGGGGGGATCGCACCTGAGAAGTTCCGAAGTGGAGACAGAGTGGTGCCAAAGAACCCTGCAAAAGGAGCCCGGGCTGAAGCTCCCTCCTACCTGCCAAGCAGCCCAGCAGGGGCTCTCTTCAGGGTGGAGTGGGTACTCACCAAAGGGTCCCAGGCGCCCAGCAATCTCTGCCAGACTGGCCCGCAGGCTGGGCAGCAGGGGCAGAGTTCGATGCCCGAGGGTGGGCGCTGCGCCTGCTCTCAGTGCCATGTCAAACTTCAGTTCCAGCTCAGTCTGGTGTGGCCTGGGAGCACTGGATGGAGGTGCTGTAGCCGTCAGAGCAGTGTCCCAGGTCACAGTACCCATCCTGGGCTGATAGGGAGTAGTAGGCCGGTTGGAGGGCCCAGAGAGGGGGGATGTGGATTCTAGAGGCAGGGAGGAGGCCCAGGGTATAGGACTGCCTTCAGCAGAACCCCACTCTGGGGGGGAGCTCCCAAGGGAGCCCACCAGCAGTTCCCAAAGGGGGTCAGTCCTCAGTCCACTGGCCACCTCTTCCTCTAACTCTGGGCTTGACCCAGGAGAGAGTGGCTGGGTCTCTGTGACAGGGCTCCCCCAGGCAGCAGCAGGTCCCCGAAGGTGGAATTTGAAGTTAAGTCCCAGGTTGAGAGACAGCATAGAGGCCTCACTCTGAGGTGGTGGGGTCAAAGTAGTGAAAGGGGCACCTGGGATGGAGGAAGCAGGCTGGGGGCCCACAGGAACAGCAAGCAGGACCCAGCAGAACAGCCCCAGCCCCAGACAGCCATGCCCCGCCATGGCCCCACTTGGTCTCAGGTAGCCTCAGTGGGTAAGGGACTCAGTTCTTCAGAACCTTTTGAGCACGAAGGTCCTGGAGAAAGAAGAAGCACCATGAGCCCTGGCTGCCTGGGATGAATTGCCCAAGAGACAGAGGTTTTGATCACAGAGAAGGAGGTGGGGGAGGGGGGAGGACAGGATGCAAAGGGTTCTGCCCAAGGAGAGCTGCCAACTCCTTCCTCCGTTCAGGCCCAGCACGAATCTCTCCCTACAGTTTCCCTAAGGCTCCCTCTCCCTAAATCCCTGCCTCCCCACCTGCTCAATTTGAGGACTGGGGTGTGACCACAACCAGCTGCTCTCATCCTTGACTGATAGTGGATGGGATGAACTTAACTCCCAGACTCCGATCCCTTCCCTCCCTCTCTTCTATCCACCCTTCCACCCTCAAATATTTATTGAGGCTACTATGTGCCCAGCACCCTTCTGGTAATACAACTGTGAACAAGCTAACCCTCACGATGAGGCTCAACCTATTCCCACCCCCACTTTGGTCCCCAGCCTAAGATGTTGGCCCTCTACTCCCCGGACCCTGGAGTCCAGGGCCCTGGGAGGGGCAGGGCGCAGGGCTGAGTGATCCGGCAGATGGAGAAGGCAGCCAAGCTCCCTGCTCTGGCAGAAGCTCTGTCCCTTCAGCCTTTCCCCTCTTTCCTGGGGCTTGGCCTGCTCCCTTCCCCTTAACCCTAGGAGTCTTTGGGGGAGGGGCAGCTTGGCCACCTCCGGTTTCCCGGGGAATATGGCGAGGCAGGCAAGCTGGGCAAGGAGCTGCTGCAGGAGCTCCTACCCACTCCCCAGAACCCCCTCCCTGCGCACACATCTGGGGCGGGAAGGGGAGGGTAAGCCCGGGACACACGTGCACCCAGCACCCCTACATCACACACACAGCCACACCAGCACCCATGACACACTCACCCACTCACCCTTCACACAGTCTTGCACACAAGTGCGGGGGGGGGGCCCACATTCAGTCCTGCCCGGCCGCCCTCCCTCCTACATGGGTTCAAACCCAAGCTCTGTGAGCTCCCAGCTCCCCCCACTTCTCTCTCCCACACACACCTACCTCACAGACACACACAGATACACTGTCATACTGAGAGGCACACACCCCTACACACGTTCACACACTCCTTATGGACACACACCATCCCCGCCCCCCACACACACCCCTACACACACACCCTGCAGGGGCCCGCGTGCACACGCGCGCGCGCACACACACACTCACACACACTCACACGCCCCCTGCGCGGACAGGCCGACCTGCTCCTCTCGCTCCCTGCCGGAGGCGGGTCTCCTCTGCCCAGTCCCGGGGAAGGTGCTGCGGCGGCCGCCCTGGCGCCCAGCTGGGCAACGCTCCGAGGAGTCTCGCCGGCTCTCGGGGTCGCGCCCGAC